CTTTAAAAACACTAATTGCTTTGGTAATATGTGATTTTGAAACAACTTCTTTGTATTATATATTCCCTTAGATGAATCATCAAAATCAAATATGATTTCTTTAATTTTTTCATAATTATCTGCGAAAAAGAGACAGCTTTAAGCCAGGTACCCCACCGAGTAATCACAGGTTCCGGTGGCATCGGTAATTCAGGAAATTTTTCTTTGTACAATTGAGTTCTTAGAGGAGCTTTAAGAAATATTTTTTTACATTACTAATTAAATCATTTATTAAAGGAAAGTTAGACCTAATTTCTTCTGCAACTCTGTTAAGGCCATGTGCCAAACATGTAACATGGATTAAGTTTTCATAAAACATTTTTAAATTTTGTGCGGCTTTTACCATGTACGGGGCAGCATCGGATAACAGCAATAAACATTTTTCTCTTGGAACGGCTTCCGGAAGAAAAAAGGAAAACAATTCTGTCTGGATAAAACGAATTATTGTCAAGTTATTTGTTTTATCTAATTGCTTTGAAGCGATTAGATATGGACCAATTTACATTTCTTCGCATAATGAACCTATCATTAAATGGGCTATATATCGACCACAAGAGTCTGTTGTTTCATCCACAATAATCTAGAAATGGTTTCCAACGGTAATCTCACGAATTTTTTCACGAGTCTCAATGTACAAACTGTCAACACCACGTTTGCTCTGGAATATTAAATTTACAGTATTTTTGCCAAAATGATCGGAGATTTGGATTATTTAATCCTATTAAAGGGATATTCGAAGTCACTAAAGCTTTGCATAAATCTTCATTAAAAATAGCTTGTTCACTTCTAGACGATCCAGATTCTAAATATTGTTTCAAGGGAAGTTGACTTTGTCTGCGAGTGTCTTTAGATTTCTGCTTTGCTATATGTGAGGGTGTTTTCGCGTGTTAGTCGATTTGAAACTTTTTTTTTACATGAAATCTAAAAAAAATAAATTCCTGTAGATGTTGAAGTTTTAATTAAATTAAATAAATGCGTACGTTGTAAATTTGCCCTACTTTTTTTTTAACTGTGAGTTGAAATAATATTTTACTGTCTTTTGATTTACCATTGTGAAAGGTCAAAATAAAATATAAAATAAAAAAGTACTTACAATTTTAGAACATGTTTTACAAAACACCTGGTTATCACCTTCTACAACAAAATCTGAATAAGATTTTACCCACGACTTAATTAATTTTGCCATTTTTCCCACTGGTTAACACAACACAACAATAAAGACTGAAATGAAGTTGAAAGTAAACTGAGTCATTTAGAAATTTGAAGATATTAATACCTGAAAGGATATTTAGCAAAATTTGTTGGTTTAAGGAGGGTGTTTTTAATTTAATCCTCTCAAGTACTTACACCATTAACCGTAATTTATTACAGGGAAAAGTTAATCCTTCAAAATTTTAGGAAATCGACCTGTAAAGGCATTTCACAAAATATTATTTTGGTCCAAAACTCATAATTTTAATATGTCCAGCCAATTAGTACGTCAGATTAATGCCAAAAAATTAACAAAATGTCAATATATGCATTCAAAATCAAAAATTGTATATATTTGTATATATATATATATATAAAAAAAATATAGAAATATCTCTCTCAACTAGTCAGTCAGTACTACCCTCCTTTTTTTATATATATATATTGATATAGTTTGTATTAGTACTTAGATGTAATTATTTATTTTATTTATGTTGAGCGCCTTTATACATATCTACTAATATCAAACTTTATCATTTTTTTTTTTATTAGACTAAAGTGCAATTAGTTAAATGATCATGTTGGAATTTTACCAAGATTATACTCTTTAACTACTTATTTTTTTTTTTATTCAGATATGTACGAGCAAAAGACTTTTCTTCAGAGGTGTCGGTTCCACAATAATACTTATTAAATTTTATATTTTATATTTTTTTTTATTTAAACCCCAAATCAAAATAAATTTGTTTAAAAATTGAACATATGTTTTTATTCAAATAAAACTTTCAAAAATTGCCAAAAAAAAACATTCCTTGGAATAAGAATAAATCAAAAGAAAATGTAAATGAACAACAACTGACGCAAACTCACTATTTCCACTTCTCTACTTGTTGAAATAGTAGTTTGTGCCATAAACGGAGATGTAGTTTGCGTATTGTTGGTTGTCTATCCAAAATACAGTTTACCACAAGACACCGGTTAGATTAAACCTCAATAGCCACTCCCATTTAATTTTAAGTTCCAAAATGACACCACGATCAGCCAACAACAAACAATACGGCTCGACTACAGTCAATGCTAATAACTAAATTAAACTATGTACACCTAAAACTACCTTATAACTAATTTAGCAAATGTGTTTTAAAAGTGTTCCTCAAATGCCTATTAAAATGAAAGTTTATAGTTTTGTTTGTGAACCAGTTCAGTTCAATGTTAGGTCCGTATTTCGAATAGTGACAAACTCTTGCAGGAATATGTTTAACTGTCTTTATTAATGTTGTGCATATTATGACTCGGCGAGTCGAAAGGGTAAGTAACTTCAGCACTTAGTGTACACTTGTCAAATTATTATTTATGTCAATTACCTTGTAAAAATGGTAGCTAGAATACCTTTTATAGCTCAATATCTTAACGCAGGGCTCCTTTAATCCAGTTTCTTTGCTCCAATTTAAATGTAATCTGATTTTTACTTCTTTATCCAAAATTTTTGATGTCTGTCTATCTTGTTGATTTATTATCTTTTTTTTTTCTCTGGTAACAAATTGTCATTCATTAAGCTAATTTTTCATACTTAAGTTATATTTTTCCTTGTAGATATCACTTTATTCACTGTTTGTTTTCTTTAACTAGTAACGTTTAAACTGTAGCTTATAACTATTTTACAAATTTTCTCTTTTATTGATCACATCATTATTATTTTTTTTTTGATTCATTCTATTTATTTCATTTTATAAATTTAAGTTTTAAATTTGAATTTTATTTTTAGTTTCAAATACAATTCATAAATGGTTGACTAGGTATCAATAATACTATACTGAGTGTTCCTTAACTTCAAGTCTCTACAACTTTCGGTAAGTAAGTAAACCTTTTAATTCAAACAATGTTATTTGTATATAACATTGCACTATTCCAACATGCTCATTGTCACTTTATGCTTTTATTTTCTATAACAATATATATATATATATATATATATATATATATATATATATATATATATATATATATATATATATATATATATATATATACAACAGATGCAAAATATGGCGTTTTGCATATACTCCTAGCTCTATTTATAATCAATCATTTTTCTGTATACATGTTTATGTCAAAGACTGGATGCGGAGGAAGAACTAGATTAATTCCAGGTGCATTGCCATCAGGATTTACTGAGGCCCCAGAAGAAGATGAATCTAAAAGGTAAAGAACCCTGCACTTTTATTGTGGGTTAATCTTTAACTAAGTAGACTGCTAGTCGTTAAGAAATAAGCAAAGCCTAATGTGAGTTTTTCAATAAAAAAGTCATTTTAAGTTTCTTTTATTTGCACTCCTAGTCATTAAGAAATAATCGAATATTAAGACAGTTTTCCAATAAAAATTAACGACTGGCAGTGCAAATGTACCTGAGTACCTAAGTAGTAGCTTGATTTCTATTTTTAGTATATCGTTTAGTAATCTATTGAACATTGTTTACGTACAATATATTTATATTTAATAAATTATTGGAAAAAATTATTGTATTGTAATTCTCGTACACGTGTATTAATAGATATCATAAATATTTGTATAATATACCTACTATTTGTTTATATTTTTGATTTTTAAATATATTCTTTTTATCTTTTTTCTTGCCTATTATTTCAACCTTCATTTTTCCGTTATACACTTTCTGATGTTTGAATTAAAAAAATCTGATGTGTCCAACACAAATAATAATAATAATATTAATAATAATTTACTATTACTAGATACTTACCCTAATAATGCAAGTTTATAAAATATGTGCATAATTTAAAAAATTTTAAAGGTATGTATCAAATTTATTATTTATATTAATTGCAAACCCCGTAAAAATGATGCGACACTGGAAATAATGTCTACACATTTCCCCAAACAAACGCTGTCAAATGCGGACTCTATGAAATATATATATATATATGCTCGAAGCTTGTAAGAACCACATTTAATTGCAATTAGGAGATCCTTCCATCTGAAATTGTTTAGGACTGATAACAAAATAAGCATGTGTTTATTAACTATCTAAAATGTGGCAGTTATAATTTAATACATACTCTTCTGTAAACATAACATCAAAATGGCACTTAACACTTATTTTTTCAAAATCCATTTCAACAATATTTACAATTTTCTAGGAAAGAATACACACTATTTTCCTTATTTAATTATTGTTGTCTTGTACACTAAAAATGATGAAAAATAGTAATTTTCTCACTTTGTTTTGATGAAATATATGGGTGGTTATTATATATATTTCTTCTCGTTTTCACTTTCCATTTCGTTTGTTACATAGAGTATAATTAGTAGACATTAATAAATTACTATTATTTAATAAAAATGGATACATACGTATTTTTTACTCGATAAAGATAAAATTAACTGAATTTTTCTGAGAGTTCGCAGTCATTATTTGTTTTCATTTGAGGTACTTCAGCTTCTACCGACATTGGTGGATTTTTTATATACTATGCAGTTTTTGGTGCCATATTTTAAAAAGAGTGGAAACACCTGCAAAATGCCATTCACAGGGGGTAACGGGGTAAGAAATATTCTGACTTACAATAACGTACAACTAAGCTTACTGGATGTAAGTTAGCTAAGTGGAAAAAAGAAAGCGACTATTTTCTTCCGTGATTTGGTATACACTTTTCTATGGATACGTCATGCCATAGGAGATAATGCCATACTAGTTTGCAGTTGTCTTCTGTTCTACAATGTGGACATGAAAATAATACATTGTTTTCTTTTAGGTGGATAATAGTACAAATATAAACGAATATTATGCGTTTAGTCTGCTGGTACAAACGAAGATGGGTACTATTTCTAATATATTTCTTCTTAGGCACAACTGTATTATATTCCTTGTCGCACGTATTAGAAACTAATTTGGAAACGATACAATGTTATAGGATAAAAACAGAAGAAACACTTCCAGATATATCGGAAGTGGAACCTAGAAAAGGACAATCAATATTTTTTCACGAAACTTCCTGCCGCTCTTACCAAAAAGGAAAAATAGTTATTGAATCTAGGTGAGTGCAATTTTTAATACATACAAGAGTTAAAAGTAACCTGTAATGTGTAATGCACGAATTACATACAACTTGTGATACGTTATTAGGATTTTTATTTAATTTACAATTATATTTTTTTTATGTAAAATTATGGAGATTCTTAACTATTTAACATTAATTTAAGAATATTTAAATTTTACTTTACGTCTGTAATCCAAAAATGTTCGCTAGTCTGTAAATTAATTCACACCACCAATAATAAAATACAAGTAGTTCTTAACATTGCCATGGCAACCTGTGTATTTTTTCGAAAAATTTCTCTTGCTGGTGTACCCTGAATGGTATTACAGTTCACGGTTCGTAAACTATTATGGTGGAAGGGTGTGACGTCAGAATTACAAAATCAAATATTTTATTATTATTATTTAGTGGTGTATATATTTTAATTTTTGGACTATTTTTCAGTTTTAGTTTGATTTTTTGAAAGAATTGCTAAAAGCAACAAGAAAATATTATGGAATGGTTTCATTAAAATTTCCAATGAATTAGGTACTTTTTATTTGAATTGTAAAGAGATATGTTAGTATGCGAATGGTTTATTTCAAACATTTTGGGTTAGGGTACGACCTCCGAGCCGAACTCGGACCAGATTTTGATTATACCCTGCAATAATTTTGATTTTTTACAAACAAAATTCATCAGAAAATCCCTTTTCCAAACAGGGACCACATACAAAAATATATGGGTGCAATTTTGTTTTAAAAAATATTAGATCGATATGTTTAAACTGTAAAAATATGCACTGTTCAATTTAAGGAAGATGATTACATTCGGGTACGAATCGTGGGGACTTAAACATAAATTAAAGGTTATTTATAAGATTTTAGAATATTATTCTGCATTAATTTTCACAATTAAATTAGTTGCAGCTGTGCCAACCCTACATTTAAAAGCAGATTTATTACAAGCATAATACACAACCAAGAGCAAGAAGTTAAAGTGCTTTACTAAAAGAATGTAAATGATTGAAGAAGGGGTTTGCTTCAGAAAGTTCTTTGTAAAACTGAGCTGCAAATAATTATGAAGAAGAAAATAAGGGCCTGTTAGACTTCAGAAGATATTTTTAAAGCATCCACGATAAGATATTTGAGTAAAGGTTGCTATCTTTATCTCAGAATTACTCTTAAGTATCCCTTATCGGGGATTTTAATTTAAAGTGCGCTACTAAACTAAATCTAAGATGTGTTATTTTGGATAATGTTTTGCGGGTGATGGATATTTCTGGAACGTCTAAGACAGAATTGCAGATAACAACATTGTTGTCATTTGATGAAATGAAAGTTTGTTCAATATACGAATTTTATCAAAAAAAAAAAAGAATATGAAGTGGTTGGCCTCATAATTACATAAAGTAAAGTCGCCTAAGGTGGAATAGCATTTTATTTTAATTAAAAAAAATTCTAAATTTCAACTCATTTTAGAAATACTCATAGGTAAGGGTCTTTGGGATACATAGTTCATGTCTGAAAATTATATAGGTAATCTCGTTAAAAAAAATTAAAATATAAAAAGAACCTTCTTTAGATTTTCAAAAATGGATTCCTAATGTAGAATACCTCCCAAATGGAAAATTAAAATTGAATCAAAAAAGGATTTTTTTTAAACGAAATTAAAACCGTAAATTTGTATGAAAAGAAAAAAATACAAATATATACAATATTCAAAAAATATTTGAAATTAACAGAACTAATGGTAGAAGTCACAATAAAAATTTCTGCAACAAGAGAGGACAATCCACTCGAGCTGTACAGTATATTTTTCTACGATCCACTAACAAAACTCTAGAAATTTAAAAAATTATTTTAGGTTATTAAGACAAAATAACTAATTTTAAATATAATTTATGAATTTTTTTAATTTATAAAATAAAATAAAAAAGGCAAACGCTTTGTCCTCATCTTCACTGTTACTTTTGAGATTTTAGTTTTAATACTTGTATTTAAATTAGTTTCATATAGTTTGATTAAAATTTATTTATTTCTGAAGTGTGGACTAAATAAAAATAAAACTACTACTATTTATCGATTCTACACAAAAATAACTCATTTTAATCTCAATTACTAAAAAATATATTAACAATTAGTTTGACAGAATTGTTAATAATTTGAAATTTTAAAAATAATAGTACTTGGGTGTCCAAAATATGAACTGTGATTGGTGAATTTAATTTTGTTGCAGGGTTTTCACTACCTAGAATGGATACGAAATATATTCATTCAGTTGAACGCAATAGCATACTTTTTCGTTTTGTAGTATGTGTGTAGATAAACCAATATACATGTGGGTGTAGGAAAACATATTATTATGTTTTTTTTTCAGGTCCTGCACACTCTTCATGTGCCCAACAGTCACATAGCATGCATATTATCCAAATTTTCCCTTGATTATGGTCAAGGATTAGGTCCTTGTTTTGGAAAAACTTCTTAGTCATCTGAAGAATTCTGTATAGAAATGCTTGATGCAGCAGATTCAGCACTCGATGAAGACGAATCTTTATTTTGATGTTTATTTGTTCGTATCTGGCCTACGTTCCTGAACTGAATTAAAACCTGGATTTTCGAAAAATATTTTCTTTTTAATAATTTCTGTTTTTCGAGTCTGTACTTTCACATCTTTTATTTTTATAGTTTGCCCAAAGTATTTCTTATTTGGTGTCTTTTTCTTTTTTGGTGTCGTAATTATTATTTTGGCTTTTCCTGGTTTTCTTCCTAGAATACGTACTTTTCTCTTTACACACACACACACACACACACACACACACACACACACACACACACACACACACACACACACACACACACACACACACACACACACACACACACACACACACACACACACACACACACACACACACACACACACACACACACACACACACACACACACACACACACACACACACACACACACACACACACACACACACACACACACACACACACACACACACACACACACACACACACACACACACACACACACACACACACACACACACACACACACACACACACACACACACACACACACACACTTGCAATTCGGTTTTTATTTTCTTCTTCTTCGATCGGCGGTTATTGACCCTACGGTAGGATTTTTATCTGTTGCAGCAACATTACAAACCTCTTTTTGATGTTCATGGGCTAGAAAATCTTCTTCTTTGAAAATGTCTCTATGTATAGTTGCAAATCCTTTGACAGCTCGTTCTTCCGATTGGATCTATCATGAGAGCTCACGGACATCAAAATGATAAATGGGACGTTGACTGTGCTTTAGAAAGTTATTTATTTCTTAGTTATAAAAAATGTTTTTCCATGACGGTTTTGTCAAAAGTTTTCATTTTATGCGAGGTGTGTGGCGGTAAAGAAATAATAATTGTTATAAAAACTTCTTTAGCCTTTAATATAACGTCAAGGTTCTTTGTAAATGTGTTGTGTCCGTCTAAAAGTAAAAGAACAGCGTTGATTTCACATAGATGAACATATTCGATAAAGTGTTCTAACCACGCAGTTACTAGATACATTTGGATCCTTCCTGTGCCAGAATACTTCCAGTTACCTCCATTTGTAATTGAGTGACGTCACACCCTTCTTTAGCAACGGAAAGAGGCCATTGTAGTAGTTTATGAACCGCGGTTTCAAATTACCTCCATTAGTAACTGTTATAATCAGAGTACATTATTTTTTATAAGTCAATATTTATTTACTATATCCCACACTTGATATCAATGTTTATTATTAATTTATTTACACTAAATACTAATTATTTTATTTATACTTAAGTACTATTTATATTTCACACTTATAATCTAATTTGTTTTATAATTCGAATGTCTATATTCAATTGTATCTCGGCTTCAACTGACTGACTTCTACTGAAACACAACCAATTTATATAAAATGGTATATGCTATCAATTATTCTAGCTTCCAACATGTACTAGACTGTTGCCTCCGGCAATTTCTTGAATATGTTTTTACCAAATTCGTCATCGATCTAGTATATTCTATAAAGAATTCACTTCGACTAGCCATAGGCGTAGCACAGGGGGGTTGACTTATTTTTTAAATTATTTTTTCAATCGGAAAAGTGGAGCCTTAGAAGCCCAAACAAGGTAGATCATGACCAAATTGTTTAAAAATTGCTCGCATTAGATTGCCCGCTCCTTAAGAGATAATTCCTCCTGGAACTCTTACGAAACTAAAACGGAATGGTTAGTTTCTCCTGGAACTCTTATGAAACTAAAACGGAATGGTTTTAAGTACACGCTATTCCAAATCAAGAGTCCGCAACTATCGCTAGTCTATAGCATTCCCATCAGCATCAACGACGCGCGAGGACTGGTATTTGTGTTTCGAAGGAAGTTTGGTCGATAACAAGAACTTTGAAGTTAGTTATCGGCTCCTGGAAACGCCTTGTATCACGTTATCTTTTGTATCTGATAATAAAGAACACCCTCCACTTATCATGATGTATTACTTAGTCTGATGGAGCACTGTAGTTAGATGCACAGAAACTAGTCATACCAAAGATAGGAAGCAACCAGCTGAATTGAAGGGTCATTAGAAACAGTGGAAGTAATTTTCCAAGATACCGAGGTCTATATACTGGTCTGCGGTCATTCGCCAGGTTACAGCGAAAAGCGAAAACTGTCCCTTTTTACTTCCATGCAACTGAAAATTGTAAAAGAGGGTCCAGTTGCAGATACATTTTAGTTTTGTAAGAGTTCCAGGAGGGGGCAATGAAATACGAGTCATTTTCGTCCAGTCGTCTAATGCTCTAATCCTTCAAGTTCATATATGTCTTGTTTGGGCTTTTAAGGCCCCACTTGTCCGATTGTCAAAAGTATTTAAAGAAATATGTCAACTCCCGGGGCTACTACGCATATGGCTAGTCGCAGTGAATCATTCATAAATTACAATAGAACGATGACGAATTTGGTAATTGCATATTCGAGAAATTGCTGAATGCACCAGTCTAATAAATAATGGGCGCAAGAAAAATCTAGAGCCTACACAATTTTATATAAATGGGCTGTGTTGCAGTGGAAGTCACTTGTATCAAACATACAGTTAAAGATAGACATTCAAAATATTAAATAAATTGGATTATAAGTGTGAAATATAAATAGTACTTTAGTGTAAATTAATTATTTAGTATTTATTGTAAATAAATTATAAATAAACTGTTGTTAATAAATAAATGTTACGTTTTCTTAGTGGGTTATTATTGTCTAATTGAGTTACTTGATGGATGGAAAAAGTTCATAGTTTGGTTTACATAAATGTATTATTTACTTTATTTTAGACAAGCATGTGCCGTGGAAAGTACCGCTAGATTAAATCCGAATTTTGATATTTATTTACTTTATTCTTCGCCTGGAATTATTAAATATGACGGTGACGAGTCTGACAGACTTTTGCACACACTCATGAGCTACAAAAATGTTTATATCATGCATTTGGACTTTAAAAACTATACCAAAGGTACACCCGTCGAATCCTTATATAGTTCAGGACAAATTGAAAACTCCCTTCATGTTGTTTCACATGCCAGTGATGTACTACGGTAAGCAAATATTTTACTTTATGTAATAGTATTTATGCGATATTTATTGGTTATGTTAAGTGTAAAGGTTAAAGAAAAGGTCCTTTATTTCTCACAAGTCAATTTATTGGCGACCGGTTTCGAAGTTGTCACTTCATCATCAGGCACACCTAAATGGAATGTCAAGGAGTCAGTTGTAATAAAAACAATTATAAAAGCATGAACGGACTTTAACATATACAAAATAACAGAAAAAACACAAAAGAAAGTTAAACAATAACCTTGACTCACCTTGACTAAATCCATAAAGGAAGCGCTACAAAAAGTTTAACAGAACGAGTTAAAAAAGTCATGTGTAATAAGTATTTTTAAAAAAAAAAATTTAATGTAGGTTAGGTTAAACCACCAGATGTCTTTTTTTTTTTTTTTTTTTTTTTTTTGAATTGAAAAAGACATCTGGTGGTTTAACCTGACCTACATTAAAAAATTTTTTTAAACAATACTTATTACACATGACTTTTTAAACTCGTTCTGTTAAACTTTTTGTAGCGCTTCCTTTATGGAATTAGTAAAAAAAAAAATTATTGGTTATGTCTATGCGATATTCAATTTTTATAATTTAATTAAATAGTAAATGGTTAAAGAAAATTTCCTTCTAAATTATTTATTCCATCTCAAAGGTGACTAAGAGTAAAATAAAATGAATTCTGGAAGCCATTCGAAGTCATATGTAAAGTGAACATATTTTGAAAGGTAGAAAACGAGACAAATCGAAAACATAGAGGGGGCGGCGTAACAAATAAAACAACGTTGCCACATAATATGTAATAGATTATGTTGTCACGTCACCATAAAAATTGTATTTTCAGGTGATTAAAATAAAATATTTATAGATTTTTTTTACTTGCACACATTTTAAATCGGGACTAGTGGTTTAAAATCCAGACTGTCCCGCCTAAATGAGAAAAGATGATCATTTTAGCCATATGTCATATTATTTTCTGACATATGGCTTCAAGAATTTATTTTTCTTTTTTTATTAATTTTTGCTGGAATCTATGTTAATAGGAACTTTACAATATTGTACATATAAAGAGTACAATCACAATCGGTACATCCTTATTGAATAATATAAAAAGCATAGAGTGATGAAATACCTGTTTTTAAAGTAGGGAAAAACACGTATAGGACTGACGTCAATTTTATTAAACAATGAAAAAGTTGGCCATAAAAGGGACATTTATTTATTAATAATTAATAATAAAAAAAGGTGAAACAGCATGTACATAGAACGAAAAGTCTGTCTGTAATATTTTATTTTATATCTCAGTACTAAGGGTTTAGAATAGAGAACATAAAATATAATTTTTGAGCTGAAGAGTGAAATTTGTGTAAAGATGAAATTTTATTATTAGTAGGCTGAGCGCGTTCGGCTAAACAAAGCCATCTTTTCCGTCGTCTAGTACCCAGAGATTACAGGAGATGTAACTACAAACAAATAATATATCGTGCTGTCGTAAATAAGACATTCTAAGGGACAAAGGAGGAAAATATCCTTGTTTTCATGCCTATTTTAATATTCTTGTTGTATTTACAAAATTTTTACATATCTTAAAACAACTAAAATAGTTCAACCTATATTTTATTGCAACTGAAACAATTTTGAATCATTAGTTATATCAAATTTAACTAAATTAGATGTAATTTTCCTAAATTATATGTAATTTCACTAAATTATATGTAATTTCACTAAATTATATGTAATTTCACCAAATTAGACGTAATAATTTTCAATAAATTCCAAAAGCTAGTTAATGTTAAGTTGGATATCAAGTATTTTGTACTAGATGTGGCAACATGGCTTGCATTTTGTACATTGTTTATTATGGACGTACAACAGCTTACACATATATTTATTCATTGGTAAAATTGTTTTGTACTGCCCTAAAATCCTTCAATTTATCTCTTCCCATACCTCACATCACATGTTTCTGTACTTCTGATCTACAACTGGACCGTATTGATGTCGGCGTCACGAATAATATATTTTTTCAATAAATATCTCTAATAGTATGAGAGCCTACTGCAAATTTCGACCGTCATCTGATAACGAAATGAAATATGCTCCAAAGGCATGTAACAATATTGTACTTTACCAAATTGTGCCAATCCCTTTCCTGAGCAAAGTGGTTAAAAAAAAAATTATTTTATATTCACAAAATCACATAAGACATGACAGCGACAATTGTGTTTTCTCTGAAATTTACAATCCTAATTCATTGTGAACCCAGCTTTTAAACCTGAATTATTAATATTATTACCTACCTTTTGAAGCATGTTTATGTGTGAAAGGAAAAAGGATGGCATTGTATAGACCATTTGCAGAAATAGTCAATAATAATTATAAACTCTTGGTAGACAATTCTTTTAAACCATAATCATAGTAGTTTTTTTGTCGTTTCTATGGCAACCTGTAAAAATGAATCACAACAATAGACATACAAATAAATTTTTAAATCAGCAAAAAGTGATTCATATTTTTTATGATTTTTACCTACTAATCGTGGATAGATGTTTTTGTGTAATGTGAAGAGGAAGAAAATGTTTCCCTTTAACGATATTTATCAAGATATATTTGAATGTTATTTTCTGGAATACTTTAAGGGCAAACAAAATTAGCGCTGTCATGCCTTATGTGATTTTTTTAAAATAAAATAATTGTTTTAAGCCACTTTGCTCAGGATTGGGATTGGCACAGGTGCAATTTGGTAAAGTAAAATGTTTTTACATACTTTTGGGGTATATTTCATTTCGTTATCAGCTGACGGTAAACATTTGTAGTGGGCTCTTGGGCTATAATACCACTACAGGAAATCTTTTATATAAAAAAATTATTTGAAAGTTATAAATGTCAAGAAAATATTTCAAAAAGGCCAATTCTGCTTACTTAAGAATAGTTAAACCAGTTAATTACGTGATAAATTAATAATTCAAATAAAATTATTGACTTATTTATTGGAGATCACCGATCATCGCCGACAAGACGTGACAGCTAGGTTATCACGTTATCTAGCATTAAATCTAGGAATGTGAGGGTTTAAAATCACCTTCAATGCAGCTGAAAGACATGTTCTCATTGCACCGATGAAGCAAGCACCTTTGTATTTTTGAGATATTAGCTCTAGTTGTACTTAAACTAGTTCTGTTACCCGGTAAGTGATGATTGTTTGTTCTCACTATTGCTGTATTCATCCATCGCAGAGTGGTCGGGTTACATCCCCACCTTTTTCCCGCAATGAATCTGCATACCATCCGCACTTTTGTGGCTTTATTTATTCCTTCCCTCTCTTGTATATTCCATGGAAATAGGTTATCCAGGGTTAGGCCTAGATCATTCACTTCTTTTTTTCATTCTATATGTATGTTGACGATTTTGAGATTTAATTCTTTTCTGCTTAGAAAGGATATTATTGTGACAGGGTATGCCGAGGTCAGTCAACTTGGTTCTGCAGGTGGATATGGTGTTTCAACTGCCGTTCTTCTAGATAGCAGCTGTTGCGGTATGACGGCACCCTATTTAAGATAGGGCCGATATTTGGCCCTTGACTATTCATGAACTATAGAAATAAGTCTGGGAGATGTAGATACTTGGATTAAAATATTACCTTTGATTGAACACTTTTATTTTAAAACACAAATGGAAAGATTTGATATAACAATATACATGATTTACTTATGAATAAACACTTTTTACATTATTTACAGCATTTTTCTAGGAAGTTTGTTACGTTAAGTCATGATACTTAAGAAATAATTTGTTATATAATGGCGAACAGAGCGTTTCCTTTGTATGACCGCAGAACGCTGTGATGTGTTTGACGGTACCTGAAGCTCTGTTTTTGAAAAGAAGATAAGTCGCTAAACGAGCTTGAGGCTCATGCTTGTGACGTTGACCAGTGAGAAGTGGATGATGCCTGTGATGTATTTATTTGTCGGAGATCTTCCTTATCGGCCAAGATAGTGCCGATTACAGAGACCTTCCTAGGAGTAGCATAAAAATCAGGAATGAAAGTTTATTGTATATTGGATGCAATATTGAGTGAACAATAAATGTAATTTGTTAAATGTAATTCAACAGCAGCTAAGAAATCCATTTTGATGATATTCATTCCATTGATATCAAAAGATTCAAATTTTTTGTTATTTGTAACTCAGGATTATTAAGATTTATTTTAATTTTTTAGATATTTGACGCTTTGGAAATATGGCGGTATTTACATGGACCTCGATGTAGTGCTTCTTAAATCAATAGAGGATCTGAAATCCAACTTTGCTGCAATAGAATCAAATAATGTTGTCGCTTCCGGTGTATTGAGTTTTGAGCCAACAGGAAATGGACACAAGATGGTAGAAGATTGCTTAAATGACCTCAAAGTCCGTTTCGATGGTAAACTTTGGGCTAATAATGGACCAGGTGTTATAACAAGGTAAATTAGTATTGATAATGAAACTGTCAGTATTTTTTAAATTTCTAATATTTTTACTTAAGGTTATTACAGCACCCCCTTGTAATTTTCGGACAAGGATATCTCAAAAAGTAATTTTTTTAAAAAAATTAAATTTTGGAAAAATAAATAAGGCAATAATATCTAGAATACGCATATTTTTTAAAGTTTTAATTCCTTCCAGTTTCCGAGAAAAAAATCAAAAGGCTTTAAATTTTGTGCTATTTTCTGGTGTAAACTGGTGTAAATCATTTCAGGAAACGAATGATGACTGCCAGTGTACGATACGATAGTTACAGTCGCGTTACAATAGAAGGCAGCACTTAACGAGGCATTCTAGCCACTAATTTTGGCGAATTTTAAAAAATCATTAACAGAACATTAAGAGCTCAAATTTTGATATTATGTCAAGAATACTGCTGTTGAGGAATGCATTTATTTTAATTATGATATTTCAAAATTTAAAGCCCTTTGATTTTTTTTTCTCGAAAACTGAAAGAAATTAAAACTTTAAAAAATATGCATATTCTAGATATTATTGCCTAATTTATTCTGCCAAAATTTAAATTTTTTAAAAAAATTACTTTTTGAGATATCCTTGTCCGAAAATTATAAGGGGGTGCTGTATCAGGGTTACCAGGTTTTTGAAAGAGATGACGGACAGACAGGGGATTTTAGGGGAAATAGAGGGAAGTAAAAACAACTCAGTCTATTTTTACTCTTTTAATCAAAATAACTTATTTTGCAAGAAATCCTTACCTAATTTTGGTAAAGATAAACTGAGGTTATTTAACAAATAATAAGGTGAAAATGTAAGGTTAGAAAATCGAGAAATGGCAAATTGAAATCCAACATTTTCACCTTATTATTTGAAACACCTTAGTCTATCTTTACCAAAAAATAGGCACGGATTTTTTACAAAATAAGTAATTTTGATTAAAAAAATGAAAATAGACAAGAGTTGTTTTTACTTCCCCCTATTTCCCCTAAAATTCCCTGTCTGTCCGTCAACACTTTCAAAAATCTGGTAACCATGTGCTGTATTCACCTTAAAAGGATAGTGGAAATGAGGTTAGGTCATAGAAATAGTATAGAAAGCCGATTCCATATATCAAAACTGAAACCCTAAGGAGAAAATAGTGTGTCGGAGCTCATGCGTATAACGGTGCTGGCTCGAACAGGACCGGTGCAAGTTTTTTATTGATCGAACAAATAGTTCAAACCATGTTTTATCCATACATTTTTAGAGATGCTTCTATATAAAAAACGATGAAAAAAATTCAAGTAGGATAAATATGTTTTTGAAAGAAAAATATGGCATGAAAAATGAATTGGTTAATTTACAGAAATCATTGCTGCAGTCACGAGATCTTATTTGATTTAGTATCATTTGCTACAAGTAAATTTAATTTGAGTAGTGCAAAATAGGGGGCAGGTGCGTTTCGCCCAGGAATATTATGTTCGATATTTTTTTATATTTTGTCAGCCAAGACTGTGAGTCGTTACTTACAATTAGACAAAAAACCTTTCATGTTACCATTTTCAATATAAAGTATCCAAATATGTCTGCATCTCTCAAGATTCAAAATTAAAAAATACTACTACATTTACTTGGTACTTGGTACATATTTTATTTTAATTTTAAACTCTTTTAAAAGGGTCTTTCGTTTTCATAATAAAAGTTAGTCGCTGCTTATTAGAAACATTCTGTATAGTCTAAACCAATTTATGGATTGTTTTCGATCAATTTAATACAAAGATTTAAAGGTTTTAGTCGATGATAACATTCCACATCAGCACATTGCAAACCAATTTTATAGATAATAAGAATAAACTTGTAAATCATTAATTTGGTAGTTATCTCACTATAATGATTTTTTTGTTTATATGACTTTTTTGATTTCCAAATATATTTTGGCCTTACAATACGAAGCGTTTTGTATCTAATACTTTTTTTGTTGAACGATGAATGTTGACAGGCGTGTATCTTTTCCGGAACAAGAGGCGCTTTAACGGCGGAAATGATTTTCGAACTATCCAGTTAGTTTTCGGAAAACTAGAAAATGTTTGAAGAAAGTTGTCAATAACATTAGCATGTCGTTCATTTGTTTCATTTTGATCATTTTTCATTCTAAATTGCATAGAATACTCTTCTTCCGATTCAAAATCGAGATTCTCGATATTTCCACAGTTTATTTATAATACTTTCTACACTGGCTTTATCTATCATTTTATATTCTTCATAATATATATTATCACCCTACTTTGCACTTTATTAACAATTTTTTTTAACATACTTTAAAATGGGAGGATATTCTCAATTCGTTGAAATATTTTTTTATGTATGTTGAGCGATAATTCTTTACCACGTTGCCCGGTTTCTATGATTCTCTTTTTGTTAGAAAATGAATAATACTACATAAATTAAGTCAGGATCTGAAGATGGGATCCATGAGAAAATCATTAACATCTTCATTTTTAAAGTAGGTTTTTTAAAATTTCTTTAAACCGTACTGGTTCGCACGCGGTAAAGAATGAAGAAATGTAAATAATTGTTGTGCCGGCCAAAAAGCGAAGAGGAAGTAACGATTAAAATATCGAGTGTCAGAAGTTTCTAAGTTCGTTGAGATCGAGTTTATATTTTAAAATGCCTTGAAACCCGCATTTAAAAGTATACAATTTAATAGGGTTAATTTTCAGTTTCTACATTTGAAAATATACCCGATGCCAACTCGGCTAGTGATGCCATAAATGTTAGGTACAGGTACAAATTAATACGATTCGTTTTAAAATTCTTTATTTTAAATTATACCCAACTCAAACTGTCTCTGACGTCATGAGCGTTGTCTAAAGGTATATATTCCAAATAAGCAACATTTCATGTTCCATCGCTATCAGGAATAATAGAAGTGGCATCTCATTTAAAATAAAAAGGAAATAACAGAACTGTCAAAATATTTTAGATGGAAAGATCATAGCCTGTTTACTATTTTTAACAAAAAATCATTCATTATTTTGTCAGATACCGATACCGTCTCCCCGTCGCTGGACAGCCTGTATATAAATATACAGCTCTCTATTTACATAATTATAATTCTTAGGTAGGTTTGAATTTCTAGACATAATTCTTGTAATAAATATAACAGCTGCTAAATACATTGATTACATTTTCATTAGCCAATGTAAAAATGTCTTTTATTGTACCTAGGATTTAACTTAACACTACACGAAACTAAAAATAAAATGTCGTGTAATTAAATAATAAAATACAAATTGAATCCAAAATATCACAAACGGTCCTGTAACGGCACCGTCATAGAGCCTTGAAACACCGGATTAAAGTGGTGTTGCCAGGTCAATATTGAATTTGTAGGTGAATCGCTTGTTGTACATTAATACCGTATTTGTATAAATTTTTGGGAATGTAATTACACATAAATATTACTACTATTATAGTTGATTATTTAAATGTTTATAAATTATTTTGGGGCGATATTTCGTAGATATAAACTGATTAAATCATGTAATTTAAAAATAAATTAATTTAAAATTCTTTTGTGTTAGGTATGTTTAATATACTTGGCAACACTACAGGGACAAGTCATGCATACTGCGCAAGCTTCTAGACACACTATTTTGAGATGTCAGGCGCAGAGACGCGTTTTTATGCACAGTAGGTTTCAATTTCTGCTTGGATGTTATATTTATATTGGTCTTCTATATTATTTCTATGGGTTAGGTGGTTTCTTTCAATGTGGTTGATCTTAAAATGAAATTTTAAAAGCTCTTAAAATTGCAAAAACTTTTCTAAGGAATAATGTTTTAGAAGAAAATATTACAATTAATTACTCAACAATTACAACAAATCTTCCCCGATGCAAGACTGTGAAGTAGTTGATATTTTTTAGTTCTATATCTGAAAAAGCTCCTACTCATTTTCGATATAAGAGGAAGCTATAGTACAAAAATACTCTGTGCTAAATATCTCTTTTAATTATTTTAGATTACTTAAGTCAATGTGTACGTCAATCAACACAACCGAAGAGATCATGAACGTCGATTGTGGAGGATTCACACTCTTACCTCCCAGTAGCTTTTATCCAGTACCGTGGCAAAAGTGGTGGATGTACTTCGATGAAAAATTCTTAGAAACTGTTGCCAATTTTACGCAAGATAGTTTCGCTATTCATACGTGGAACAAATTAAGCCATGAAAGACATATACCTCTTGATTCAAATGTACCTTATTTAAATATAGCTAGAAAAAATTGTCCTAATGTCATTGAAGCTTGTGATAAAGTATTTTAGAAAAAATTGTTATACTTTTTATATTATGTTTATTTTTAATAAATGTTTTTTATAAACTTGTCTTATTTTAGTTATCCCTGTTTCTTCATTGCGTAGAGAAATAGATTTTGCAGTTATGTACATTATTTTCTGTACGAGCATAAAGCGTAAACATACTATAATAAATTTATCTCTTTTATGACTCGTATTTCTGTCTTTGTCAGTTATGGCCTACTTATTTAGAAACATTTTTTTTGTTATCAAATGTTACAATTTTTATTAAAGTAGATTTAGAGATTATGTGACGCAGCAGATAACTTAAAATGAGTTATCCTTTATACCAAAATCAGATTTGATTCCCGTTTATATATATGGTCGTACTCAAAAAGTTTAATATCATATACATTTATTTTAGTAGTTCATTATTGTATTTATCTAATTAAAAATGAGTTACCTGTTATTCTCATGAAAGGAAATCCTACGGCATTTTTGATATTTGCTCCTGCAAAACCAGCCACATGGGCACCAAGACTGAAACCTATCACGTGCGTTAAAGATGGGGTGATGCCATAAGAAAGCAAATTAACAGAAAGAATACCCAGACACTGTCCCACGTGCCAAGTATTTAAGTAAGCAGTGACGTAGCAAGGAAGTGAAGCCAGAGGTTCCCAGTCAACTGAAAATATTTGTATATTATGTATCCCTACAGATAATGAATTCCATTAATTACTAACCTATAATAACATTGTAACCTACATCTTGGTAAGCCTTGGTGACATTTGTCGTGGCACTGTCTACATTTAAACCTCCATATCCATGGACAACTATCTTTAAAGGCAAAAATACGTTGTAATCTTTTGGTATAATCGGCTGAAGAGGGTCTAAATCATGATACGAAACGTTGTCACCTTTCCCTGTAGATAGAATAAACTTTGTTGCATAGGGACTGCATGGTTCTTCGAAATAAACAGGGCAGTTGCCAAAATTGTACTTCAGAGAATCCAATTTTTGTGTGAAACCTGTGGGAAATATAAATTTAATTTATAATAAATAATTAATTTTTTAAGCATTAAAATTTTATTCGTTTTATAATTTTGTATTTTCGGCTAAACAGTAAAAATATAGGCAACGTCTATTTCTTATTTGGAATAATTCAACAAGAATGGGTGCTAAGTTAAACTTGAACCTACCGTCTAAGATATTAGAAAAGGATGTCACGTAGTTTTTGCCATTGACACATAATCAATATCAATAAAATTCATTCAATTGTATGTCAAGAATAAAAATTCTAATTACTTTAAGTTATATTATTTTTCCCATGCCAATTTTTTTTAGGTAAATTTTAAATGTTTGTTAATTGATTACTGGGATAATGAGAATTAATTCACAACTGACTTTTTAACCAATAAAAATATGTACAAAAAGAGGGAATATGAACTAAAACAATTAGAAAATAGAAGAGCATGAAAAAAACGCAAAAATATACGAAGAGATAAATCACCAAAAAAGACGCAGAAATGCAGACACAAATACCTACCGTGATCTCTTATAGAAAAGGCTCAGAAGAGCTATTCAGGAGAGGATATAGAGCACTTTATGAATCCTTTGAATCTGCATAACGAAAACGAGAACCAGGAGAAAGAAGTAGATCAAGATGAGGAATATGAAGTACATAACGATACCAAGTTATAATGCAGAAGAAGAAGAACAATGCTCTAAGGATGATGAGATAACTAATGAAATGATAAAGTTAATGTCCAATCGTTTGATAATATAATTAGAAGTATCCCAAAAACATATCGACACACTTTAAGTGGTGATAGGGGACATCAAAACAAGCTTTTTTGCTTGTACAGCAATAAAATGTTTTAAATCATTCTAAATAAATAAATTATTTATTTATTTAAACACTTCTGTCATTCGTTCGAAATTTTTTGTTTCAACTTTTATTGAGGAGCAAAAATATTTCTTTATTTCAAAGCTGCTAATTTTAAGACCGTAGTACTATTTTTTAATTAAAAATTTGTGTTGATGATAATGCTCATTTCGAGAACTTACTGATATGCGCGTTACTTATGGCTTATTGCGCGGCCTCTTGAAATGGAAGAGAAGCTGCACGCTGCAACCTCATCACATAACATATTTTTCTATACATCATCGTCTTAGAACTTAGATGAACGGGATACCTAAAGCATTCTGGTGGTTGTAGTCGTAAAAGAACAGCTCATACGGTTGAATTTAAAGAAGGAGTTTCACACCGTCCACAGGTGTTCGCATAATTGCATACACGGAATCCTCATGGTCGAATGGTACAGCGTATCTTGCATGAACAACTCCTACATCCCTACCATTTTCATTGCGAACAAGCTCAAAATACTAAAGAATATCCACATCGATTTGCTTTTTGCCAATGGATTTTGGATCATAACTTAATATATCCTCACTTCGGAAGAAAAGTATTGTTTAATAGTAGAAACAGCCATATTTGGCATGATGAATATCCTCATAGTATGGTCTTTAGGAGATATCAGGAACAATTTTCTGTAAACATGTGGACTGGTATTGTTAGAGAGAATCTAATAGTTTACTTGCTGCCTGCTCCTATGAACGTAGACATTTATCTCCATTTTCTGCAAAATGTGTTGCCTCTATTATTAGAAAATGACCCTTTAGATTAGAAATAACATGTGGTTTCAATATGACGAGGCTTCTCCACATTTTGGTTTGAACGTGCGTCAGTATTTGGATCAGCAATTTAATCGCCGATGGACTGGATGATTTGAGGTTATCTGAAATCTTCTGTCTACAAAACGCCTATTCTTAATGAGGAAGATCTCTCAGCATGAATATTGGCTGGTTTTGTAAATGTAAAAGCTATTCCAGAAATATTCCATAAGGTCCGTGAGTCAATGGTCAATGGTCAATGGTCAACATTTAATCCTTCTAAATATTTTTTAAATTAATATTAATTATTTATCACTGAAATAAACAAAACTGATCAAAACCTGTTTCCTTGTTTTTTGCCCAAATGGCTTATTTGCGCACATGTGTTTATTAAACAAAAAAGTTTGTTTTGATATCCCCTAACACCCCTTAAAGATTGTCGATATTTTTTAGGGACACCTTGTGGGTACAGTGCTTTCTTAAAGTAGTAAATACATTAATTTTTAGCCAAAATATCCACTTTTAAGGAAATTTCCGAAATAGGAAAAATATTTTTAATTGGGACACCCATGTATATTATACAATTTTTGGAATCGCCATGAAAAGCTGAATTTAAAAGTTTTTTACCCATATGGTTTGTATACAGTGTGTTGCTGGGGTTGCTATTTAAAAAATATCGATGACATCATTCCTCTCCCACACAATTCATCCTATATGTATTAATTTCATTCGATAGCTTCGAGCGTTTATCTAAAAGTTATTTTTTGATTTTTTAACGAATGTGTCCACTACTTTACGTGATACTTGGGCTTAATATAAGAGATAGAAGGTAAGTTTAATAGGGAACAATTTAAATAATTTGATGCTTATTTCGGATCCGTTTTAAAAATTTATAAAAGTTATGTAGTTTTAAAATTAATTCATTAAAATAAAAATGACAGTTTTTTAATGGGGGCTTAACCGTTAATTTGGCATATTACATTCTTAAGACACTTTTTAAAGAAAAATGATTCTGAAAAAAACCGCATTTCCAAATTATATTTTGTTTTCGAGTAACCCATCTTAACTTGGATTTTTACATAAATACCCGCAAATTAATGAAAATCTAATATTTTCCCTAATTTGGCTACATTGCATTGATCTAAAATAGCATGCGGTGCACGAATATATATTTAATATAACATATTTGGCTAACCACGTAAAAATTCTACCTAGTAAGAACACTGCAAAAAAATGAAATCCACCAATCACAGTTCATATTTTGGACACCCCACTACCATTATTTAAAACAATTTAATGAAGTGACAATTCTGTCAAACTAGTATACTTTAGCATACGATTGAAAAATGAATGGTTTCACAAGAATATCATAAAATTGTTGAAATTAAAAAGTTCGATTGTTCTCTGAGTGAAGACATAAATTAATTAAATTTAGTTTAAAGTCACCAATACTTTGTAAGACCTAAAAAAAGTGTGATCGAGTATGATAAAATTTTGTAAAAAAATAAAATAAACATATTACCTATATAAAAATTTTAAAAACACAAACTTATTAACAAACATACTTTAATATTATTGTCCTTTCGATGACTTCGAAAAGTGACACGTCTATTTTTTAAACTTCTATTTATTACTAGTAATTTGCTAAAAAAGTATTCACAAGAAATACTGTGAACATCATATTGCTTTGGAACGTAGCCATTCGTTTGTCATAAGTCATAACAAAACCAACAGAACATTAAAAATAAAAAAAATCACTTGTCACTTTTTCATGTGGTATGTATTTGAGATTTTAAAGAATTAATTTGTAAACTTATACGTTGGAATAAGTATGGTAAGTTATTTTCAATAAAATAGAAACATATTTTCTAATTTATTGTCTTTTGTTTTAGATTTCAATATTTCAGTTTCCAACTACAATAAAAAATAAATCATTGTAAACGAGAAGATACAATTAAATGACTGCCTACATTTTACATGAAATACTTATAATAACTAACTCCTGGGTAATATAAGGTGACAGTATTTATTTTGATCCAATGCTTGACGCTGAACACGAATACAACAATTTGTAAAAACTTTCGCAGGTGAAAATTTTTTTAGCTCCCAACTATAAAAATATAAAAACAGAGAAGTTGTAACGTGTAATATAGTTATTCTATTTACTTGTTTAATGTGTTTGAGCTCAATTGATAGGGCGTGGATTAGGTTATTAAATAACTCGAATAACTTTGAAAAAGAAGTTGGGGACCACTATATTTAAAGCTTACTACACTTGACTCTAGATTAGTGATAAAAATATAGAAAATCACTAACCACTAACAAATAATATTTAAACCATGCTTTAGATAAGGTAGCTATCAAAGTCTAATTCACATAAGTTGTACTAAATTCAAATTTAAAACGATTTATTGTTTAAGCACTTATCTTTTGGCAAGTTAAGTAAATATACGGAATATAAATCTATATCATAGTATTTCTTCAGGCAACTTCCACAAGGGATTCGGGATCCTTATTCGTAATTCTGCATAATTCTGAACTGTGAATGATCTTCAGTATTCGAACATAAACTGTCTAGAAACGAGATTAAAACCGTCTAGAAATTGAACCAAAACCTTCTTGAGATGGAACCAAAATCTTCTAGAGATTAAAGCAAAAAAATATCTAGAAATGAATCCAAAAAACGTTTAGAGATAAATCCAAATAAACCGTCTAGATATAGCCATGCATATAAAATCAGACGGATTTTAAAAATATTAAAAATCATCTAATACTTCGGATGACCGAGATAAATTAAAATAATTGTGATCTATTTGATATCTTCAAATAAAATGAAATGAAATATCAAGGCTGGTATATCTAAGGGGGTCGCGACATAGACCCAGTAAATGGATGAGGGGGTGACTGAGGCTAGGGGGGAAATAGTAGTCAGCTTAAGTTGGCAACACTTTTCTGACGTTCGTTTGAACGAGCATCGTGCATAATAATGTCAATATGGTACAAGTGGAATGAACCACTGTTTTCCTCGTGGCTCGTAGTCCAATGTCGATTTAAACTAAAAACATTTTGTACTTTTTTATATACCAAATTATGCAATTTGTTTCCACTTTATTTTAATGTTACATGAATAGGTACATGCGTTTGTGCTGTGGTAAATAAGTGTTCATGTGAAAATTATCTTAAACTACCTACATTGTGATTGCACTCATCTCAAAACTGAATGCTGTAAATCCAGGATTTAAATCTTTCATACCTAGTGTTGCTTGGGATAAATTTAAAAAAGTTGTTGGACAAAACGTTTACAACCTAAAATTGCATGGAAAACATGATAGAAGAAGGAATTTTACCTTTATGACATTCTCTTTCAACATTTTTAAGTGACTTTGTGGTTTGGTGAATGGACTGTTATCACAGTCAAAAGATTCAAAGTAAAAAAAAAGTGACCAAGTTCTAATAAGAATACATAAGTTGAATATGAAAATGTAATTACTTGATTTAAATGTGATTTAATTAAGAGTTAAATAGAGGTTTCATATAAACAAAGTGCTGTAAAATGTTAATAAATGCAAAACCATTATTAAAGAGAAATTAGTTATCATCAATAAGATATTTTGTAGTAGCTGGTCTCTATAAATAATAAACTTGAAAGACTGAATTAGTAGTCACTTTTACACTAGAAGTAAAAACAAACAAAAATGTGTGGTTGAGACTAATTTATGTATTTAATAAAAACATATTTAACATAAAAGCAGGTGTTATTTGAAATGTTTTATTTTAGTTTAATAATCTTTATAAATTGTGGGTACATTTGATCCGAATCTTGCAAATACTATAAAATGCATATGCTTCTATATGGTTAGTATTGGAGTAGAAGCACAAAAGTTTTGAATAAAAATATAGATACCGGAATATTTTGCTTGATTACTAAACTTTGGATGTTTTTGTTGTAGTCTGCTGTTAAAACTATTGTCCTGAAATATTAAAAAAAGCTAGACAAATCCTTGTCCAACTCTTTTGTCAGCTTTGTTAATCTATGCTACTGTTATTCTGCATGCAGACATTTTTTACTCGAGATTTTCTCTAAGAACTGTATTCAGTTTCAAATTTCGGCCAGTTTTAGGAAAGTACCTCTGTTGTAAAAGTATTTCAAATCCATCCTTTGTAAGATGTAGACAACAAATACATGCTAAAATGTATAGAAAACAAATCACAAGATATTACACAAAATTATTTAAATTAACTAAAAACATACAAATGAAGTGAATAATACCTACCAACAATTTAAAAAGACCTAAAATAAATAGACTTAAGGGACTGGAGCTCTAAAAAAGGGAGCAATAATTTGTTATGCATCATCTATAAGAAAATTATCTTCATCTCTTCAATTACCTTTTAAAATAAACAAAACTAAACAGCACAAAATTGAAAGTGATCTACTTTTCCCGACGTATTTTATGTACATCTGAGATTAATAATTTATTAAATTGAAATATTTTATCATAAAAATATGGGCATTTTATAATGGAAATGTCATTTAAGAAATGACATTGATTTTTTTTCTTATATTGGTAAACCTGGCGACTACAAGTTGCCACGTTGCCAGATCAATGGCGACTACTATGTGACTACTATTTCGAAAAAAATGGCGTTCAAAATGGACTCCTATGTCGCGACCCCCTTAGATATACCAGCCCTGATGAAATATGAACTTTTGACACAAGGCATAAACGACAAATGACATTTGAGTAAGAGGTGATTGTGTCGAAATAACGGTTCCAACCGTTACAAAGTCATGTACTGCTGTCGTAGCAAGAAAGGTCCTATCTGAAAATTTGTTGTTTCGAAATTATCGAGTTTTTTAACTATTTTTAGCAGACATATTTTCTATCTTCTAAAGCTTTTTTGTTTAACATTTTAACATTTTAGTACCGTTTCGGTATCAAGAAAGTTAAAATGAAGACAAATGCACGTAAATAAAAAAAAACTGCCAATTTTGCAGATAAAACATTTTTTGCTAGAACAGCAGTATATATGTGCTCATATAGCTTACTAAAGATAAATAACATGTTAATTTGTTACGTCTCAGTAAATTAAGTATTACCATTGCTGGACAGTAGTGGCGTTTTTCTGGAGAAATACAGCATTTCCCTGGATATCATATATGTTGTTTTGCTGTATGTTTGCTGCACAATATCAAATGCTGGACAGACTTTAAAAATGCTGTACCTATGGTCGCCCTATTGTAATAAGATTCTTAATAACTAAAAATACATTTTAAAAATATTAAGAAGAATATATAACATCTGAAATTATTTCTTTTTCTTTCGTAGCAGAATATCGTGCTAAAAAACATTGTTTTTTATAAAAAGCTCCGTATAACTTGGATATCCAATATTAAGCATCAAATTTGTAAAATTCAAAATACATTTCAGTATTTCTTTAAAACAACAAAGTAAGTAAAATTCAACTAAAAATAAGTGCAACGATTTAAACGAGCATATTTTTCAATTTCTATATACATAATATTTTCATTAATATTAGTTAAACAAGTAAATATGTATATTACCTCCAAAGTAATTTTTTTTACAGAAGAAACTATACAATTAAGTTCACATTTATATTAAAACTATGATTAGTACCAGTTGTAAGTAATTTTTTTTTTAGCATCGTAAAACTGCCATCTTAATAAAAATCTAGTGACCTTTGAAATACACTTTTTAACTACTTTTGTACAATTGTTTACCATTTAGATACTAGTGAACTTTTCCAATATAGGTACCTTATACTCTTTCGTGCAATTGTTTAGTGTTTTCGATTCTAGTGAACCTTTGAGATATTCCTTATATTATACCCTTTGTAACTACTTTTGTCCAATTGTTCAGTGTTTTATGGTATCACACTGTGCAATTGTGTTACCTTGTGATATATCTATATTATTAATACATACTTCTACTTGTATGTTATTGGTACTTAATTTCAAAAGCTTTTTAATAATAAATTTATACAATTTTTATTTTGTTTTATTCAGATTTTACTACATCCTCAATATACTATTTTACATATAGTGTGTCCAAGGATGGACTTAACTATACTTATAAAAATATTTATTTTAAATTTTTCAAAAAAGTCACTTTTCATAATTTTTCAACGTACAAAAGAAATTATTTACTGTTTTTAAAATTTAAAATAAATATTTTTACAAGTATTGTCAAGTCCATCCGTGGATAATGCTGTAGAATGAATTCACATTATAACATCTATACAACGTTTCAGAACAACTTTTGGGGAAAGTATCATAAAATTGCTACTATGATGTTTTCCGAACTTCACTTTGTTAACCTATGTGAGATGTGCTATAAAAGTCTTGCCGTTGCGGGCATTCGGCGGTTGCATGGATATTAGGATTACATTAAAAGTACATTGCATGAGAGCTTAAAGAGTCTAAAATTGTGCTTATTAACGTAGATGGGATGTTTTTGTGCTAGCTGGGTATTATTTGTTCTCAGATAGTTTCTGGTGTCATTGTATGTGCTGTCAATTGGGATTCTCAGTTTACTGTTCATTTATCTTTGTGTAAGGCTGTTCCATATCAGATCTCGTGGTAAACAGTCAAAAATTTTCTTAATATCTATAAAAGCTACATATTGTATAGGTTCATGTCCTTTTTATTAGTTTAATATACTATCTAAATCCACTCTGTGTTTCATCTAGTTGAATTTTAATCTCCGAAATTTTTTATTCAATACATTCTTAAATAATAAATTTTTATAATGTTTATCCCATTTTCACTCACGTTTTTCATCATTTCTGTTATCATCCCATCGTTTCATGATGCTTTGCCTCTTTTACTTTACTATTTCTTCTGTCGTTATTTAGTCTTGTTCTGCAGTCTCATTGTTTTCTGTGCTGTGTATCTCATTCTTCTTCACCTTTTTCTTTATTTTATATATTATTTTTATATTAAGTAATTTCTCAAAACATTATGTCTTTCTTATCTACTATTATTTTTCCTTCTTTTGACTTAATTTAGTTTCTTCTATTATGTTTGACTCTTCTTTTATTTTTTACTACCCTAAAAAACAGAATTTATTTTGCCTTACTGCCATTTCCATTGCTTCTACAAACTCTCGCTATTACTTGTTTGCTATTTTTAATGTTATTTGAATTTTATTCTTTATATCTGCTATACGTTTCATTATTCAGGTATTTTTTCCATGTTCACATCTTTAATTTTATTTCTTTTCTTATTTCTTCATTTCACCACTTGCTTTATTAAATTTGCGTATTTTGCAAATCCACAGCATTCTTATGTAACTGTTTTTATTGCATTTATGACAGTTCTTCATAGACTTTCTAGTTTCATACTGTTTTAATTTTTTTAAATTTTATTCAATTCTTTTTTTATATTTCATTATATAATCTAGCTGTTTCTTCTTCTCTAAGTTTGTGTATTCTCATTTTTTCTGTAATTCATTTTTATCATTTTTACACTTCATCTAATATTGTCTTCTCTTTCTAGGTTACTTAATAATATTTTTGAAAGAACTAAATAGTAATCCGAGTATATTTCACCGCTTCTATTTACTCTAGTATCTTCTACATCTCTTCTGAATCCCTTATTTCTTTTAACATAATCTATTATAGATTTATTTTTTCCACTTATTACTTCTTCTCTTGTATATTTATAGATGTCCTTATGTTCGAAAAAAATATTTGTTACTATACAGGGTGTCCTTTAAAATGTGTCCCAAAATTCTCAGGCAGATTCCTTAACCAAAAAATGGAAAAAAAGTTCCTATAGACCTATGTCCTAAAGTGCCCCCTAAGCGAGCAACAGCCTCTCGAAATCATTTTTTTTATTTTGATTTTTTGAATTTTCTTAAAAATGGAAACAAATAAAAGAACCAAATTTTGGCTGTTAAATATGATCAATAATAGTGACCTTTTGACACCTTCAAAAAGAAATTATTTCGTCAGGGGTGTACTTGGGAATTTTTTGAAAATTTTGATTATTCATAACTTTTTTGTGTTTTTGGTAATGACTTATCCATATTTTTTTTTACATTCTACATTGAAAACTACGTCAAAAAGGAATACTTGTTTGATCTCGATTGGAGCAGCCGTTTCCGAGAAAACATCATCCAAAGATATTCGTCCACTTTAGCTTAATTTTCAATTTTCCTAAATTACCTCGGTGAATCTCGTAAATAAAAATAACTTTTTTAGCTCTCTCTAAATAATTGTAGTTCAAATATCGTGGTGGGACTATTTTTATTTAATAATAAGAAACGGTTTAAAAAAATATTTATTCTAAAAAAACAAATCAAAAAAAATTAAAGCAGATGCTCAATGTGGCGACCATTGGTTTCCACACACAAGCGCAACCGTCGCATCATAGACTGTCTTACACGAAAAAATACTTCAGGATTATTCCTAAGAACTTCGCAATGATAAAAAACTCGTTCTTCCAATTCATCAACTGTTTCAACAGGACTGTAATAAACCAATGATTTTAAATAACCCCAAACAAAAAAATCCATTGGATTTAGATCTGGTGAACGAGGTGGCCAGTTAACAGGACAACCTCTGCCAATTACTCTACCCTCAAATCTTTCGTTAAGGTGCTGTCTAGCTTCAAGGCTGTAATGTGGTGGAGCTCCATCATGCATAAACCACATGTTATGTCTGATTTGAATCGGAATATTATCAAGAAGCTCATGTAAGTTATTTTCCAAAAAAGCCTGTATGCTGCTCCATTTAACCTATTCGGCAAAACAAATGGTCCAATAAGGTAATTATCAATAACTCCAGCCCAGACGTTTATTGAAAATTTATCCTGGTGGTGACGTTCAACAACCGCGTGAGGGTTATCTTCAGCCCATTCATGCATATTTCGAAAATTTATACCATCTCTAGTGAAACCAGCTTCATCGGTAAATAGCACTTTATTAAGAAACATTGCATCTTGATTACATCTTCCAAGAAACCATTCAGAAAAGATAACTCGCGGCTCATAATCAGTAGCTTTAAGTGCCTGAACTTTTTGAATGTGGTAAGGGTACAATTGTTGTTCACGCAAAACTTTCCATACCGTGTTACGTCCGACTCCCACTTCTGAAATTAAATGAGAGAATCTGTGTAGTGAATAGTTAAGAAAGAGAATCCATTGATTTGGGAAATCAGATTTTTTCTGCATAACGCAACTCTTTTCGATACGAAAAGTCGTGAAATGTAAGAGAAGCAATAACAAGTAAAAAAACTAGTTTTATACGATAAGGTACGGGGTAGCTAAAATAATAAATAAGTAATTACTTACCATTTGCTATTTTTCTGGTACTTGTCGATGGGGTTTCAGCTACCCTATCCAAAATTGCTTCTTCCAAAGCAGGAGTTCTCACATAATTTTGTCTTCCACTGTTACTAGAGTTTTTCTTAAATGTACCAGTTTCCCGAAGTCTATCGTCAATTCTAGAAAACGTCTTAGCGCATGGAAGATGCCTATTTGGAAAGCGCTCCTGATAAAGTCTGCGAGCTTCATTGGCATTTCCAGAAGCGAGTCCAAAACATAAGTGCATGTCCGTCATTTCGCCGAATGTGTAATCATTATTGTAGTTATTGTGAGCCATTTTAAACAAAATAATAACAATACAACGAATCGCACCAGAACACTTTTAGAAATAATGTTTAACTGAAGAAACATTTTTATCAGTGAGCGAAAAAAATTATCCATGAAACACAAAAACGCCAAAAAAATACATATTTTTACTTTTTTATTCTAAACAGCTAAATACAAACCTTATGGTCTTCATAATAAATAAATGGGAACTAAATTTTTAAATTTTATTTAGAGAGCTAAAAATAGTATACAGGGTGATTGATTAGTGTGAGGAAGCTCTGTAGATCTGTTATAATAAAAGTAGGCAGCTTTAAGCTTCACATTTTAAAATTAGTTACGATGTGACAGGGTGTTTCATAAGGCCGTGCCAAATCAAAGTTATGTTTTTTAAATGGAACACCCTGTATATTTTTATATTTTTAGAATCTGCTCGATAATCTCATTTCAATGATATATCACACTTGTTATCTAATATGAATAGTAAAGGATCTACAGCTACTCAAAAATCACATTTTTTCAAATTCAGGTGGCTGTTGTAGCCAAACAGTTGGAAATCGAGGAAAACGGCTTACAGTCCCTATCCTAACTTTTTAAGGTCTATTCAGTGACATAAAATACATATTATTTGATACAGGGTGATCAAAAATCCAAAATCACACCCGATTTTTGATCACCCTGTATCAACTAATATTTTTTGCCACTGAATAGACCTTCAAAAGTAAGGATAGGGACATGTAAGCCGTGTTCCTCGATTTCCAACTTTTTGGCTACAACAGCCAAAATTGAAAATTAACCTAAACTGCACGAATATCTTTGGATGATGTTTTCTCGGAAACGGCTGCTCCAATCGAGATCAAACAAGTATTCCTTTTTGACGTAGTTTTCAATGTAGAATGTAAAAAAAATATGGATAAGTCATTACCAAAAACACAAAAAAGTTATGAATAATCAAAATTTTCAAAAAATTCCCAAGTACACCCCTGACGAAATAATTTCTTTTTGAAAGTGTCAAAAGGTCACTATTATTGATCATATTTAACAGCCAAAATTTGGTTCTTTTATTTGTTTCTATTTTTAAGAAAATTCAAAAAATCAAAATAAAAAAAATGATTTCGAGAGGCTGTTGCTCGCTTAGGGGGCACTTTAGGACATAGGTCTATAGGAACTTTTTTTCCATTTTTTGGTTAAGGAATCTGCCTGAGAATTTTGGGACACATTTTAAAGGACACCCTGTATAATTATATGCTATAAATAATTACTATTCGTCCAATATTATTTCGAATAATTTATTGTTTCTGGATTAATAATAATACTTTTTATTTTACATTAAGACCATATTTAGAGCATTCGAATAGTAATATAGAGCTTAAGGATAAAAATAAAATTGAATTATTAGATTTTTTGCATTTTATTTTGATTCAAATTATTCAATTTTATCGCTGGTTTGCCAGACCTGTTTATCTTATTGACTAGAAGAATAAAAATTACTTAGGATAAAAATATTATGCGGTATTAAATTAATACACTTCTGTGAACCACATGCTATTTTATATTATTATATTATTAGTTTTTTTTTTTACTTTCAATATGGCCGCTACAATAAATATCAAAGATACGGTAGGTAATTTGAAAACAAAACACAATTTAAAACTTTTATTTATGTAAATATTCTCCATTAAAAAGTATCTTTGGAATATGTCGAATTAACGATTAAGCCTCCCTTAAAAATACCGATTTTTGAAATGACTCAAAATTACAAAAATTTTAATCATTTTGAAAACGGATCCAAGATTAACATCAAATTCAGTAAAACATTCATGATTTATATAAATAAATTTATAGGTGAGAAAATTGCGCTATGTCGATTCAGGATTCATCAGAAACATTTTAAAAAACACAATTCAAATTTACATTACATTTTTAGTGAACCTTAAACAGGGCTTAGATTATATGCAAAAATAGCAGCAGAAATTTCGTATATGTATAAGACACTAAAGCAATTTCAAACCATGGTACTTCTTATTCGTTTCCACCTTTGTTTTCATTTTAAAATTTTCATGCAAATTGAAAAATGCAATCCAATACAAATATTAATTTAAGGAAACAAAATACATTATTTATACATATTTAAAATTTCTAAAGCACTTTTGATAAAAGGGACTTATCTAGAAAATAATAGCAGGATGACCGTTTCCTGTATTGATGCGGATTGAG